GAGGGGGGCATAGAGTTTCCCTGGTGTTGGCCAGAGTGGCCACCAGGGAAAGCTGGGGAGGGCTAGCCTCCCACTAGTTCGAATTAAGGGGCTACACACCCCTTAATTTGAACTAGTAAGTTCGAACTAGGCTTAATCCTCGTAAAATGAGGTTTTCCTAGTTCGAACTAAGCGCTCCGCTAGTTCGCTAGTTTAGCGGCTATGAATGTTAGTTCGAACTAACGTCCGTTAGTTCGAACTAACATTGTAGTGTAGACATACCCTCGGTGTCTGGAGGTGGGTGAGAGGGGAAGGATCAGATGAGGATTCCCTGTTGTGATCCCTCCCTCTGGGGAATCTGGTTTGGCCACTATCGGCGGACAGGATACTAGGCTGGATGGATTATTGGTCTGACCCAGTATGGCTGTTCTTATGTTATGTTCTTTAATTTGGCTGGATTTCTTCAACGGCATCTGGGCTAAAACCAAATCTGAATGAATGGTTTGATGGAAATGTTCTTAGTTCCCAGCAGAAAGCAGGGGAGAATATTTGTCAGCCATGCGTTAACACCAGAGCTTCTGAGCTCTAGCGCAGTGCCTCATCCAAGACCACCTTTCCTCTCTGAGCACCAAGCTAGAATCCTAGCGGCTCATTGTGTGACCTGAGGTGAGTGTCTAGGTAAGATGCATGATGCCGTCTCAGTAGTATTGGGGCACCGCACAATCTTTACAGGGTTTATCCTCACAAAACCCCAACAACATCAGGCACTGACATTATACCCACTGCTCATGGAATTGGAAATCCCATTGGAAAACATTATCCCAGCTCTACTCATAAAATGATGAGGGTCTAAATTAGCTGTTCCCACTCAGGAAAAAGATCTTGGACTCATTGTGGAGAGTTCTCTGAAAACATCCGCTCAGTGTGCAGCGTCAGTCAAAAAAGCAAACAGAATGTTAGGAATCATTTAAAAAGGGATTGAGAATAAGACAGAGAATACCTTAATGCCTCTATATAACTCCATGGTACACCCACATCTTGAATACTGTGTGCAGACGTGGCTGCCTTATCTTAAAAAATATATCTTGGCATTGGAAAAGGTTCAGAAAAGGGCAACAAAAATTATTAGAGATTTGGAACAGGTGTCATATGAAGAAAGATTAAAAACACTGGCAGTTTGCAGCTTAAAAAAGAGGAGGGTAGGGGGGAATATGATAGAGGTCTATAAAATCATGACTGGTGTGGAAAAAGTGAATAAGGAAAATTTATTTACTTTTCCCATAACCTAAGAACTAGAGGTCACCAAATGAAATTAATAGATAGCAGGTTTACAACAGACAAAAGGAAGTTTTTCTTCATGCAACGCACAACCTGTGGAACTCCTTGCCAGAGGATGTTGTGAAGACCCAAAACATTAATAGGGTTCAAAAAGAGCTAGATAAATTCATGGAGGTTAGGTCTATCAATGGCTATTAGCCAGGATGGGTAGGAGCGGCGTTCCTAGCCTCTGTTTGCCAGAAGCTGAGAATGGGTGACCGGAGATGGATCACTTGATGATTCCCTGTTCCCTCTGGGGCATCTGGCATTGGCCACTGTCAGCAGATAGGATACTGGGCTAGTTGGATCTTTGATCTGACCCTATATGGCCATTTTTATATTCTTATGTCCACCTCTTCCTGTGGACAGCCATGCGATAGCCCAATAGATTTAGCCCAAGAGGGGGAATATCACAGAGGGTGAATGTCTTTGTCCTTTGCACAGAAGGTACCACATGTTAAATATGACACTCCTAGGGCAGGTCTACACAGCACAGGCTAGCCAACCAGGTGAGCTTAGATCCACCTAGCGTGGGTAATTGTATCAGAACAATGCTCACTTCAGTGTCAGTAGTACAGCCCTTCGTACATACTTGGCAACTTGTGGAACTCCTTGACAGAGGATGTTGTGAAGACCAGGACTTTAACGGGGTTCAAAAAAGAACTAGATAAATTCATGGAGGTTAGGTCCATCAATACTTATTAGCAGGGCTCGCCGAGCGGCAGCGAGCCCCGCTCGCCAGCCGCGCGGTTCTGCGCTTTGTGCACGTGCAGATCGCTCTGCGCCAGCTCTTCCAGGGTGTAATCTACTCGCCCCGGGCGAGTAGATTACATTGTTTGTCGAGCCCTGCTTATTAGCCAGGATGGGTAGCAATGGTGTCCCTAGCCTCTGCTTCTCAAGAGGCTGAAAATGGGTGACAGGGGATCGATTACTTGATTACCTCTTTATTTTATACAAATTTCCTTTTTCCAGTGATTTACTACTTGGATAACTCCAGCACAGATGCCTGAAACTCAGCTCCACGCTACAGAAAATGGTGCAACCAGAGCCAAAGTAAACATGTAGAGAGCTAATTTTTTCACACTGATTTATTAAATATCCTTAAACTTGTGGGAGGAGAGAAAATATGGAAGATGAGACTGCAAGTTAGAAAAAGCCGCAGGCTGAATATCATGCTTTAACACCCGCATTTCAGATGGTCTTCAGTTTGACTTGATTTTAAAACCAAGGGGGATGTTTGCTAATTATTGTTAAACGGCAAACAAATGCATTTCTAGTTTAGTTCTCCATGACTGGGGTTGCCTGGCTACAGTGCTATAAATAATAATATTACTACAAAATACGTTTTTAGGTTGACAAAAGAATTCTACTGCCAACCTCGTTGCACCTATTCAGTGGGGGTTAGGCTGACCTAACTCTGTCACACAGAGCGTGAAATTTTTCATTCCTCTGAGCCATGTTGCTAGTTTGACTCAAGTTTTAGGTGTAGAGGAGGCCTCTTGGAGTAGGAGATTAAAGCCATCAATGGAAAACCCCTCTCATCACTATAGGAATCTTTTTTGGGTTGGGAGCCGCTGGCCCACAGAAAAATCAGTCAGGGGCCACACATAAGAGAGAAGCAAAAAAACGAACAAAATAAACCCTCATTGATGTGCCCCCCAACTTAGAAGGAGAAAGACCCTCCCCACATTACAACCCAGAGCCTGGGGAGGAGACAGTGTAGTAGACTGTGTACTCCAGCCAGATCTCTCCTCTCCTCCCACAAATACAAACACCCCCACTTCCCTGTTCCTAGAGTGAAGGTAAAAGATTGATGGGGATTTTTTGGCGGGTCGGGGGGCAAGGACTTCCCTACCACCCCATCAATAAAGCAACTGGTGTCGCACTATCCCTGGGCTATGTCTACACTTGTGGCTTCTTGCGGGAGAAATATGCAAATGATGGCTAAGCGTGGAATATCGCCGAACCTCATTTGCATAGTGCCGCTGCAGCTATCGAGCTTTCTTGCACAAGAAATTGATGTTACCTGTCTACACTGGCCGCTTGCGCAAGAATACTTGCGCAAGAGGACTTAGCCCTGAGCGGGAGCATCAGAGTATTTGCGCAAGCAGCACTGATTTCATACAGTAGAACATCAGTGTTCTTGCACAAATACTTGTGGCCAGTGTAGACAGGTGGCAAGATTTTGCAAAAAAGAGCCTCAGCGTAAGCGGTTTTTCTTGCGCAAGAAGGGGCAGTGTAGACAGCTCCTTCTGGTGCAAGAGCCTCTTCTGTAAAATGGCGGCTCATTAGGTATGCAAATGAGGCTCGGCGCTAGTCCACGCTTGGCCTCATTTACATATTTCTCCCGCAAGAAGCCACAAGTGTAGACATAGCCCAGGGATAGTGCGACACCAGTTGCTTTATTGATGGGGTGGTAGGGAAGTCCTTGCCCCCCGACCCGCCAAAAAATCCCCATCAATCTTTTACCTTCCCTCTAGGAACAGGGGGGAGTGGGGGTGTTTGTATTTGTGGGAGGAGAGGAGAGATCTGGCTGGAGTACACAGTCTACTACGCTGCCTCCTCCCCAGACTCTGGGTGTAATGTGGGGAGGGTCTTTCTCCTTCTAAGTCTTTGACGCACTGACACAGATTAAGATTTCAGCTCCACTTTTAGCTCATGACAAGAGAAGCACTGGTTCGTGAAGGCCTGGAAAAATGAGTAATCTGCAGCGTTCAAAGACTACAACCCGGTACACAGCACTTGGTGTATTTCAAAAGAAGACGGCATATGAAAGCCCTGGGTAAGTACATATTTTTAAAATGCTTTCAACCCTGCTGTAGAAAGGGCGTGATGTGGTTCCAACTTGTACGGGCATGTTTGCAGGAGGAGCTAAGGAAGCAACTCGAGATCATCTCATCTGAAGAAGTGGCTTGTGCTTATGATAACTATACATGTATGTTTGCTAGTTTCTAAGGTGTCAGAGGACTACTTGTTGGTTTTTTTAAAGTTGTTTTTGGAGCTATCCTGGTCTCCCCTGGAGGGGAGACTTGTCATATGTCCTAGGCCAGGGCTGCAATAAAAGGAAAGACATCCTGATTTAACTATGAAGCAACCCAACTCCACAGGAAAAGCCCCTAAAACATAAGCTGCAAGCATTACATTAGCATTTCAACTGGTCCCTGAAGGCAGGGCCCCCAGGACTTGGAGAGAAGGCTCGGTCGCCTTTCTTCCACAGTCAAAGGAAGAAGGGGGGCAGGGAACAGAAGAGTCAAGAGGAGAAAAGAAAGAAAATGCTCTGCTCATTCACGAATCGTAAACTGGGCAAAGGTCACAAGAAGACAAACAGATTAACTGAACTCTGGAAACCAAAGAATCAAACATCTGCCACAAATGGCAGGCCAAAAAAACTCACAAAGGAATCCAGCGGAACCCTGGAAAGTCCGGAAGGAATTCCATCCTCTTCAAAACCTCTAGCTAACTTCCTTGCTGACGAGACTTACCTCGTTTAAAAAGAGATCGTTCTTCACCAAAGTCACTCGACTGTACTGAAAGCCATTCCGAGACGCGGCGTCCAAATATGAGTTACGCAGCACGGAAACAACTGTCTGGTAAAGGGAGCTTGAGTCCGCTGGCACTTGGTGAAAAGCTGCAAGGAAAGAAACAAAGGCGTGAAAATATTGACCAAGACAGCGTGAGGACACCAATTGCCACAAAGGTCTCTTCTGATGTTGGTAGCAGCTGAGCAAAATAACCAGCGTTAACTTCTGGGTAATTCAACACATCCTGACATTAAATTGCAATTTAAATAAAAAGCAAAATAAATCTGGGGGCCTAGAGAAGAGAGGACTCACCTAATTGCCTGGCGCATGCAACCCACATGTAGGACTCACTTAGTGTATTTCAATCTCTCCAGAGTTTCTATTTGAAGTGGAAAGTCGCTTGGTAGATAGCAACTATTGCCAAATTCACGCAGCCTACAGGCAACCCTCAACTTACAACCACCCAACTTACAACCCCCTGCATTTACAATCATTTTTTTCATGCAAGATAGCTCCTAAAACCCCCCTATTTACATCCGCAGCTTGCATTTATGATGGTTTACGACGCAGACTCCACGCATCATCCCAAAACAGGAAATGTACAAAGTCAGCCAGACTCGCCGGTCTGCAGCTGCTGCTTGAACTGCACGCATCTCCACTACATCAGTCTTCACTTTTTAGTTACTTTCGTGCATTATTTGAACTATGTAGTTTAGTTTTCCTCCATTTCCATAGTCAATTTTGGTATTTTTAGGGTATGAAATGGATTGCCAGGAACGGAACTGCCATTTAGAACATTGCGCCTATGGGAAATAAGGGTTCGACTTACAAGGGCTCGACTTACGATGGTTCTCCAGGAACCGATTAGGTCGTAAGTGCGGGGGTAGCCTGTACAATACTTTATAGCTGCAGTTTAAACTACTGGAAGTTGACTGGTCTCTTCTAGCTTCATTAATAACTACTGAGTTCATCATTCCCATGCATGGTGGATGAAGGCCCAAATGGTGAAGGCAAGTCCAAGCCCCGCCCCTCCCACCTGAAGCCACACCCCTTCTTTGAGACCACGCCCCTTCCACAACCTCCTTTCTCCCCCCCATCAAGCCCCACCCAAACCTGCCCCCCCCAACACCAGCCCTCAAGAAGATCCTGCCTGGCCACCCAGAGAGCCATGGCTGTTGTGCCCTACAGTATCTCTTCCGACTTGGTGAAGGCAAGTCCAAGCCCCGCCCCTCCCACCTGAAGCCACACCCCTTCTTTGAGACCACGCCCCTTCCACAACCTCCTTTCTCCCCCCCATCAAGCCCCACCCAAACCTGCCCCCCCCAACACCAGCCCTCAAGAAGATCCTGCCTGGCCACCCAGAGAGCCATGGCTGTTGTGCCCTACAGTATCTCTTCCGACTGTATACTACTCACATGCTAGGAAAAAAGGAAAGTAAAAC